GTATCCCCGAGTATCTCCGTGACGTCTTCAGCCATCGTTAGCTCTGCACAATTGAAATAGCGATACATAGCTAACAAAAATATCTACTAAGCGGGCCAGTGCAAAAAGGAGAGCATACTTCCAGTTCCATTTTGAAATATCCATTCTCTAATACCAGGCAGGTACTGAGAGACCGGGGACGCTGGGTTCCCTCCTCTATATGACTGATACTCATCAGTTAAGGACATTGAAGGCTCACTCCCAACTTACGGTAGACTCAAATGGTCCTCCAGACCAAAGAGAGTCAACATTCAATACAACTTTACCAGCTCCAGGCTGACCAAATGGCATAGCTTTCATAGCATATAAGCATATACTCTACTACCGAGTCTGACTACAAACCTCCAAGTCTGCCATTGCCGAGAAAGTACGCCTCTTGGGTCAGGGAACCGAACGAGGCAGAAGTGCTAGCCCATAGTCCCTTTGAAGCAGCTTCGGCTACCCTCCAAGAGAGAGAGCCGCAAATAAAAAGAGCAACTATTTTCATTTTACCTGAGTGGTAGAATGAAAAAAAAAAAAAAAGACCAAGAATACAGCACAGAACCTACAAACACAAACGGTCCGGATCTACGGTCATGGTTAACAGCACCTTTTTATATAAACTGATTGACAGGTACCATCCAACAGGTGACATGGAAGTTTGGGTATACCCCAGGATTGATGTGCAAATCATCCACCAGAAACGGTATGCGGGGTACACATTTCAAGGGCAGTTTTTCGGCGCGTTGGGGACCGAAGCATCCGTCCAATGTCATCGACGTTGCAATATAGCTCTCATCCAATACAGAGAAATAGAGAGACAACAAAAGATGAGGCATGTGCGAGAAGGCCCATGCTATGGGTTCAGGGGGTTATATTGTGACGGGGGCCCGGATTCGAGATTTGCAGATATACCCACCTAGGCTTACCTCGGACGAGACATAAGATGAACAAGATGGCCAAATAACATCAGGGTATGCAGAGGAGTACCTTCGGCATGGTGCAGAAGCTCATGCTACGGAAGAAAGTAGAATCCACGAATCTGATGTTCATGTCTCACGCCGAGACCACATCCACGAGGGAGAGAGGAACAGACGTCATTTTCGTTGGCCACGAGCTTACGTGTTAGCAATTGGCCTGGTAGTGGCCAGCATACGTGATATATCCAAGCAGAGAACTTATATTACTAGCATCAAACCTAAATTCCCACGGAGAATAGATGAAGGACGAAGGATTACGATCAAAGATAGTGCTGAGGGGTTGGTTGGGTTCGCCTAGTACACACTAGGTAAGCTCATCACGGGCGTTCATGCGGGACCGGACCGACGAGAAGCAGCGGGAGTTAACTTACAGCACACACCGTAATAATGGGGCCTTCGAAGCCTCTAGCACGGCGACTTCTCAGGAACACCACGCCCAGCACACGTGCGTTGGGTAAAGTTATGGGAATGCCTAATCAACAACACCATGAGTCGCATCGTCGCCCAGCTCGTAGCCGACGAAGGTACTGTACACCGCAACAAGTTCTCGCAAGTCTCCCAGCCTCGTCCAACACGCCCCTTAGTACCTAATTGCACCAGCTGCTGCTGCTGCCCGCTCCGCCACCGGTTATCTTTGTGCCCTACGAGCTTTTGTCGCGCCAGAGGGCGCACCCTGCTGAGTGCTGAAACTGAACCGCTCTTTTGCACACTCCCCACTCCATCGTCATTTTCCATTCGCGCTGGTTTTTCCCTCTGCAGCATTACATCACCAAAATAGAACTTTGCGCGTTGAAGTTGGCATGAACTCTCGCCAGCCAGCTTGCACGGCGGACCACTCACGGGCAGTGGCAGTGCTGCAGGTTTCATGCTGAGCTCCCTAAGCTGAGCTGGTGGTGACCATGATTTGTCGCTGCTGACCTCCCCGATGCCCCTTAGTCCACGCCCCGCAGACGCCTGCCGGAATGGAGCCTGGATGCCTAACCGCCGGCATGACCCCTCCATCGTCATTTGGGAGACGAAGCCTGATACGCCTGAGCCTCAGTCCTTTCTCCTTCGACAAGCTTCTCTCTCACCTTGCTCTCTCGTTTTAAATACACTCGACAACAAAAAATTTTCGCTCCTCCATCAGTTCAGTCGCTTGCCCATCGCTCGTTCGCTGTGTCCTAATCTTCTAGAGCTCGTTCGCTTCGTACTCTCATCCACTAGAGGGAATGTCTAGGCGTGCGGGGACGCGGGTCTCCGACTTTGAGGAGAGGGACTACTACTCTGATCGAGGCCCATCAGGCGTTCGCATTCGAGAGCGAGATGTAGAAGAGGTCGATACTTACCGTCGCGAGCGCCTGCCGCATTTTATGCAGTCGGATTTTCGTCGAGAGGAGCAAGGCCCGCTGGTTCTCAGAAGCCGACCACATGAGCGGTCACCATCCGAAGTGAGAATCAGTGAGAGATTCGTTGAGCGTGAGAGATCTCCATCTCCAGAGAGGGAGAGGGTGCGAGCTAGGGTCGTAGAGAGACGTGAGCGAGAGCCATCTCAGGTCCGTCGTGTCATTGAGACCAGAGAGAGAATTCGCGAGCGCGAGCGGTCACCATCCCCACCTGTAGTCGTCAGAGAAAGATTAGTCGAGCGACTCAAATCTCCTTCACCTCCCCCAGTTGAGAGAATCAGGACCAGAATAATCGAAAGGGAGAAGAAGGAGCCGTCACCCTCTCCTTCTCCTTCCCCTCCTCCTCCGGCTCCAATCATTGCGCCTCCAATCCATCAGGAGATCATCACCCATCATCGCCATATAGATCACGGTATGTTTGTTCTCCTTGCTGACAATTGATTCCATGAGTTAACATTTTACCAGGCTTCGAGCGTCCGAAGGCTCCTTCCCCCCCACCTCCACCCCGCCGTTCTGAGCGGACCAAAGAAACAGATATTGATATCTACACTTCTCGCAACCAAACCGAAGTGGATATCCGCAAGACCATTCGCTCGCGCACACCCGAGCCGCCCCGGCCAAGACGTACCTTTGTAGATGACAATTATATCTATGAACAAGAGCATGACAAGCTCAAGGTACGTGATGAGCGTCTGGAATTGACCCGACGGCGAAGCGTTTCTTCCCGACCACGTGAGCGATCTCGTTCACGTGTCAGAATCGACATTGATGATGAGGCCGAATACTATAACAAGAAAGCTGAAAAGAGAGCCTTTATCGGCGAAGCATACAACGGAGCCACCAAAGACTGGACCATTGTTGATGTTCCTCCGGGAACAGAGCGTGTCAGAATGGATGGCGTTGGTGGTGGAAGCCAAGAGATCACTTGGCAGAGATACAATGGAGTGAGAAGAAGCAAATTCATTCCAGAAAGAGACCGAGAAAACCGAGAAAAGGAGAGAGAGCGGTTTGTGGAACGTGTTGAGATTGATGAACCTAGGCGATCTAGTACTGGATTTGAAATCGAGATCTCCACCAAGAGGAAGGAAGGTCCTACCTATGAGAGAGACTATGAAAGAATCGAAGAAACCATCGACCGCCGGGGCCCACGAGGCCCAAAAGGTAGAGTGGGCGATCTATGGACAGAGATTACCAAGGATCTGGTTACGAAGGAAGCCATTGAAGAATTAGGCTATGACTACGAGGAAACAGAATTCTTTTTCTATGTTTTGGAGTATCTCCGCTATGTAAGTCTTGCCATACTGCATATCTGCTTGAAGGCCTTTATTAACCGTCTATACAGGAGGATGTTCTTGAGCTTGTTGAACTTTCAGAGGACATTCGCAGCCATCGTCGAGAGCGCGTCCGGGAAATCACTTTTGAGCGCGACAGGATGCGAGAGGAAGACAGATGGGCAAGAAGACGAGATCATGACGACCGCTATGATGAGGAGAGAGTAGTCGAGCGGGAGATCATCTATGATGGAGCCCCAAGAAGGAGAAGGGGTGACTGGTAAGGGAAACATCGGATAAATCGGATTTGTTGGGTACTTGCAGTTTTACGAATCATGACGTGATGACTGGAACGAAAATCCAATGATTTAAGTTAAACGCAATGGATTCAGATGATAACGAGAGCGGTGGATGATGATGACGGGCTATTAAGAGGAAGAATTTGTACGGCAGTGACGGATGACGGTCGATTTGAATTGTGATGAGGTTCTTTTTCCATTTCAACATACGTTGGATGTACGTTGGGAGGCATGACATGAGATGTTTTTATTTTTACCTTTCTTCTTTTTCCTTATTCTTCTCTTCTATTCTTAGCTTAATGTGTATTACACTAAAGCGAACTTTTTAAAGCCTTACCGGGCTCTTTTTTACATATTACCTTTCCTTTACATTTAACGGATATACATGATGAATTAAAAAAACATATACAATATAGGTTTATTATATGGCTGTACTCTGTAGACATCGAGTTTATTGAAATTGACATAGATCTCAATACAGTTCGATATTGGGACCTCTTAGCTTGAACGGCCACAGCTTTCGTCTCACTTCCAGATAGATCTAGACCTAACCTCAAAGCGGCAATCAGGATATGTGCTTATCTCAGAGGGTATCACGACAAGTCAGCCTATGGCGTGGACTATTTCAGTGCAAGGATAGAGGGAAATCAAGGTAAGCAAGAAAGAGGAAGGAGATTTTTCTGTCAAAAAATAATGGTCAGCTGGAAGATTCTTTTGGGTCGCCTGGAAACTAGTACATGGAGCACGAATAGAATACTGTACAGACGTTTGGCATGATCTACTTCATCTCCTAGTTAGTCTTTTCGGAGTCATTTTGATAATGATCCGATGGATTATATTGCTTCTTTAAAATAAATTATTGAGTAAAAATTTATCCGGCATATCTGCAATGTTTTTGTGTGAGGTGTGGAAACATTGGTCTTTCCTACGACTCAAACCGCCGTTAATCGTCCACAGCGAGTGTATGTGGAGTTAGTGTTAGGACAGTTACTATAGCATATAAGACACAATAACGCAGGAAGACGTCAACAAATTGGATACAATTTAGCTTGCGTGGTCCAATGGTTAGGATTCCACCCTTCCATTACCATATGAAAGGTGGAGGTTAGTCTTAACTATCAACTTGTCACAAAACCATATACTTACAATTATCAGGTTCGTGTTCGATTCACGGCGCTTGCATCATTTTTTTATTCCATTTTTTTACGACAGTGCTTCTTTAAGTCAATTTATCCGGGTGGTTTCTATTGTCAAAGTCACATAAGAAGCGTTTTCCTAAAGCGAGAGCTTGCAGCTTTCATTGGATAGATTTTCGCGAATACACCCGGCACTGGTACAAAGCAGGTCTCGGAGGTATTTCTTCCTTTTTTTTACGGATAATAAAAGGGGGATGTTTGCAACCTACCAGTAGTCTTACCGATCGTACATGATGAAGAATTCGTGACATCTTTAAAACGAAACTCATGTGGCTACAGAAATTTGCTTTAAAATTTGGATGTACCTAGTACAGTATCATTCTGGAATGGGAGAGATGTTAGATTCTCCCGCACGGTTGTTCAGATGACGTCGTTCACTGTCTTCCGCATGCGATAAAGGGCGTGACAGACCCACGCCGTCTGATTGGCACCCGCTCGGGAAAATGGCCCTGAGCCCTCTACAGAAAGCTTTGATACATACGTATGGAGATTTTCTTCTGTTCATGTCGGATCTTTCATCTCCGTGATTTTTTTGATGCAGCGTTTGCGTGGAACATGAATGACAAGCGTGGCTGAGTAGATATCTGCTGTGCTCGGAGATCTCGATTTCGCCCGTTCTGCTACAGGAGATGCAACAGGACAAGCAAATCGCCAAAGTATCGAACAGCCAAGCACCCGGTATCGCCTTATCCGTCAGCTCAGACGCCTCGGGATCGTTGGAGGACAGCTTGCAACATGCAGGTGCCGCGCAAGGGACCCTCGAAAAGGTGTGGCATTCGGACAATTTTGAGGTCTTTTCAAACGCCCCATAACCTTCCTAATCGTACACTAGAGTACAAACTCATTAACCATTACGGCAGTCATCTGTATTGAGATGGTGTGTGCACTGAACCATATCCATCTTTGACTGACGAACGAGAGTCTCCATTACGTTGCTAAGTTTCTGGAGAGTGTGTAGTAACCTTCGTGCAGGCGGACAGAAAATGATATCCGGGTCTGTTACTAACCCACCCGTACTCGTACTCCAGCTCAGAAGCGATGTAAATCATACGATACGGTTCTTTTCATGGCTAAATTGAACTGAATAATTCTAGACTCTGATACCTTTTTCGTGGATTACCGTTTTTCTTGCTTCTGCAGTTCTCTCCGGGATCTATACGGAGTACCAGTAGGGTACATGCCAAGTTTGGTCAATGTCGATGTAGAATTACGCGGTCCAGCTGTCAGACCTCTTTAGTTGCAGGCCATTACCAACCACCCAGGAGCAACTGTGCATCTGGACCACGTCATTGAGGTGCGCAATTGGGCCAAAAGCTTGGGTCCGGCCACAGCCTTGGCAGGATAGGGATCCCCAAGGGTGGAATAGCATCCTCGAACATGTACTGGAAGCCGTCTTCTCTACCGATGCAGCACGGCATGATATTCTCTTTCAACGCGTTTCGGCACCCCGCTCTGTTGTTGAGCTGTACATATTTAAATATATATCTGTCGTCCAAGTGCTCCGGGAAAGGGCCTGGCAGCGATTGGATTGTAAGTAGGAATTTGAACCTCAGCTGGCCGTCTTACTGCTGTTCAGCCCAGCTTTAAATAGAGAATCACGCCAAACGGCAGGCGGTGGCGGGTTCTTGCTCTGCTTTCGTGTGCAAAGCCTCTCGCTCAAATAATTCCACTAGCACACACCGCATCGACGATCTAGAGACTACGTTTCAGGTAAAAACCATCCAAATCTGAGAAGGGCAGCCCGGCGAACAAGTCGTTATTACGGCCGTGGTGATCCCTCCTGTGCCAGCTGGAAGCGTGCGAAATAGCTCGAATAGTCAGCAACGTCTGCGTGTTTCTGTGCGGTTTCCTGCCCCACGCCAATCCTCGACGGTGTCCCGGATCACTGGTGAGCGAGGACTTGGCGAGAGCTACGCGGTCCTGAGACGAAGCGAACAGCGATCGTGCTTCTGAAACCAGCACCCAAATAGCGATCGCCCGCGCAGCCTTCTCTTGGCACAGCATCATTATCGGGGTCGCTCGAAGCGTAGCCTCCTTTAAACTTTTCCCTTGACCACAACCTTTGTACCTCAACCTCATCACTTCTCACCACCACCCTTGATTGACGGAGAAGATATCACCGGATTCTCCCTCATCGTGGAGAGCGCACACCATCTCTGCGCAATAACGCTGTTGCTCCGAACAGTGCGAGCTGTCATTTTCTCGCCACGATGATCACATTCAGGAGAGCTCTGATAGCGGCCGCGTGCTTACTTTCACTCATTTACATTCTCTCAAGAAGTCATGCAACCACGTCGCCTGACTCAATCGCCAAGCAAGCTGTTAGTTTAGATTCAGCAACGGCATCCAATGGGCAGACTCCATCTGGTTCTGGGTCTACGAACGCCGCATCGACATCATCCTCAGAGAAGTTACGGCCCACGAAACCTAAGAAACCACATTCGAGCCAGCGATTATTAGCAGACCTTTCGAGATATCCATTGAGAGACAAACTCTTATATCAGTTCCCTTATGATGTTGAGACAAAGTTTCCCGCATATATTTGGCAGACGTGGAAGTACGCTCCATCCTCAGGAGAGTTCGATGAGAAATTTCGTCCAGCAGAGGCAAGCTGGACTGAGCTGCACCCCGGCTTTGTACACGAGGTGATAACAGATGAAGTCGCTATTCACTTGTTGCGATACCTCTATGCTTCTATTCCAGAGGTCCTGGAGGCGTACCACGCCCTCCCCGTTCCGGTTCTAAAGGCTGATTTCTTCCGCTATCTTATTTTGCTGGCTAGGGGTGGTATCTATTCTGATATTGATACATATGCCATACAATCTGCAGTTGATTGGTTGCCGGGAAGTGTTCCACAGGAGGCCATAGGGCTAGTTATTGGTATTGAAGCAGATCCTGACCGGCCAGATTGGGCGGATTGGTATTCACGCCGGATCCAGTTCTGTCAATGGACTATCCAGTCGAAGCCGGGTCATCCTGTTTTGCGTGAAATAGTAGCAAGAATTACAACCGAGACACTCAGGCGAAAGAAGCAAGGCAAGTTGGGGACAGATAGCCACGCAGTGGTGGAGTTCACTGGTCCAGCTGTTTGGACAGATGTCATATTCGAATATTTCAACGATGAGAGGTATTTCGATGTTGCCTCTAGCAAATCAAATGTAACCTGGCGGGATTTTACAGGCATGACAATGCCGAAGAAAATCGGCGATGTTGTCGTTCTCCCAATCACCAGCTTTTCTCCAGGCGTGGGCCAAATGGGCGCTGGTGACTATGATGACCCGATGGCATTCGTAAAGCACGATTTCGAAGGTAAGATCTGTAGAGGTGTATGGATATATTGGTACTAACATAAAATCCAGGTACCTGGAAACCCGAAGAAGAGCGACATATCGGTGACATTATCGTGGAAGAGGAGGCACCACAGGAGCAAATTCCTGTCTGAGAAAGCCTGTCACCACATACACCGGAAAAACTCCAACAGCCTACATTCCTGTATAAATACTATGAAAAAGTCCCCCGGATCTTTTTAACCCAGGGTTGTTTCTTGCATTTTACACGGCGTATTTTCATATGTAACGGCAACATGCACGTCTGGATAGAGAGGACGTTTGGGCAGGTCCCGTCAAGATTTCCTACTATTGTCCTTTAATTATAGAAGGATGGGGTTCCTGCGTATATGCAGATAATATTTGCAATAAGGTGTTCGGATGAGAGGGATTGTTTATTTTTGCAGAAAAGTACACCAATGCGCCTCGTTTGCAGAGGTCGCCGAGGCTTTTTTTTTTACGAACCTGAAACATGGACTAAGCAACAGCACAGCAGGAAATTATCAAGGGCTGAGGTTCCTTGTGGGAGATACTATTTTCTAAGATCAATTGGAAGACACGCAAGCGTTATTTATGCTTGCCCCAGCGGAATCCTCATGTCTTAAGTGGAGAGATGCAACAAGGGCCATGGAAAGGCCTCAGCATATTTGTCTCAATGCACAGATGAAAATATATAAGAGGCATAAGATACATACTGATGCATGGTCAGTAAAAACGATGACTAGAAGACCAGTCACATGCGAGATTCAGGAGGTTGAATAAAAAATAAATTACCTTCTGCATTAGTTCGGCATTCTTGGGCAGTCCATATCCGTATCCGCAATTCATAGCCGTGATTTATGAAGGAAGCATAAAGTCCCGACCCCAAACCCCGCGTTTTCGCACCCGTAGCTTTTCCCCTTTGAACCCCGCAGCCACGATCTTATTGCCCCATAAGCACCTGCCCGTGCCGCCCAGATCTCCAAAACCTCGGACCGGCATCCGCTTTCGCTTGAAACATAAAACTCCCTCCATTGGTTCCTAACAGATGATCGAAACATTACTTGAAATATGAGCAAAATATAGTAATCCATCTCGGTTTTTTGGTGCTCTCTCAATTTTTCCCTCCGAGCGGCTTTTTCTTTTAGAGTCAAGGAGTGCAGGGGGGCCGAGAGCGGGGATCGGCCGGGCAGGTTCGCTGAGATCATAGGTCTTTTTTTTGGTTAATTTTGCAGTTTGGATAGCACCACCTGACGGTGATGATGAGGGTCGGTGGGAGTTTGTCTGGGTGGTCGATGAGGATAAGAAGAGGTGGTTTGAATCGCATTGGGGGATTTAATGCGAGACTCAAGAAGAATGCTTACTCGGCATCCTGGGGTGTTAGGAGGGGCTTGTTGACTGAGAGTTATGCTAGAGGACCTACTGAGGTTTGTTTAATATTATTTTTTTGCTTTTGGGTTTTTTAATATTCAAGATGGGATTTTTTTACTTTCTTTTCCTCTTGTTTCTTAGTTTATGACCTCTTTCATTTCGATTCACGTGCTTTAAACTTGAATCTCGCTCGTCTGGTTATGCATGTCAAGCTAACATGTAGCCAGCCGCCTCTCCTTACACAAACCATTCCTGAACATTTCGCTTCTATAGTTGCAGCGTATGGCGATCGTACCGCTCTTGTTTCACG